CTTTACTTGAGGATATACTCTTTTAATAATATTATTTAAATGATTTTTAGCAATTAAAGAATATTTACCCACAGAGGGTAAAGTGATAATTACCAGATACATAGATACTTCAAATATATCTGGTGTACTAACATTTCATTTGTTTAAATAATTATGAAGTATTTTATCAGTAACAAAAATCATTCTTACATAAAAACTCTTTGATGTTATGAAGTCTTTATGTAACAATACATATGTGCTAGGTAATACGTAAGCACCAAGAAACAATATTTTAACCAAGTTTTCCATAAATAATTTAGGAATAATGCTTGCAAAACGAAAATAGAAACATGTAAATGTATTTTTGTGATACACTTCACATTCAATAGTGATCAAAGCTACCTGATTAACTCTCTAAACATGGGCTTGGTCAATTTGACCGACCAGGTGACCTCTTTGTCCTCGTTTAAAGTCTTTATAAATTTAATAGTTCTAACTTTCAATAAAGTGTGTATATCTTTACAAAATTTGGTAGTCTTTCACATACAAAAAATAATATTTTTAGGAAAGCATTAAATCATCATTGCTCAGACAAACTAATTTTTATAGCCTTCAATTTTGTTTGGTTATAGAGCTATCAAATAGAAAATCAGACCCCTCCTGTCTTATCCTCTCTTTCAGGATTTGTTAATAGTTCTGTCTAAAGTTTCATTATATATTACTTATAACCAATAGAAAGTCAAGGTTTTCATCAATCAAATGACGTATTCTATTATTTTGTGTTCTTAAAACAGAATAGCAAATTTCACTTCTATTACAACTTTGGTTTCCACGGGAAACACAAGGCTAGCTTGGATGCATTTGTAACGGCTCTTGTTGCATAGTTAGAAAGCCAGAAAAATTGTGATTGTTACAGGAAATTGTCTGCTTTTGTAATGTTATTATTCTATGTTCTTTGGTGCATTATCTAATTAAACAAAAATTATTTAATGAACTACTACTATTAGTATAAAAAAGTAAGGTTAAATATCATCAAGAGTTCAAAGCAAAAAAAAGAACACTTGGGTAAGTACTTTATTTCTTGTTTTTATGTTTATTCTTTAGTTATTATTATAAAAGTAACTAAAATGTAAAAATAGAGATCTCTTTAGGTTAGTTAAGGTTAGATTAGGTGAAGTAAACAATAATAATAATAATATAATAAAAATATTTCACAAGTTACCCAGGCGAGCAGCTTGCGGGTAATGTAATTTGATAGCGTAACATGAGCTGCATGTTTCCCAAGTGATTTACAACTTATATGGTGCAAATAGTAGTTGGACATGGTTCAAAGGGCAATAAAACAATAAAATTTAATTATAAATAGATGTATACTGTTATGAGTTTAAAGCTATTTAGGATAAATGAGGGCAGTTTCATGCTATATTTGAAGTTATTCTAGAAGGTAATTTAGTATTTAGATTTTTTTTTTGTGGTCATGGGGTCGGTCAAATTGACCGATCCCATTTTG